ATAAAAATTTATTAAATCTTTAATACTTTTAATATATTTAAAACAAATATAAATAAATATATAATTTTTAATATATAGAATAGCCAAATTAAAAAATTATTTTTTTTGAAAACTATTAAATTAAAACTTGCTAATTTTTTATTTATAAATTTATTATAACTAGTAGTTTTATATATTTAAGGTTCAAAGTTATATATTAAAAAATGATTGAAATAGTTGACTAGTGTTAAAACTTTTTGAACAACCTACATACAAGATAACTAGCAGGTGGTTTCTTTATATAAAAAAATCTTGGTAAAGAGAGAGGCAAATATATCTTTGCCACTACTTTGTAAACAAAGCTCAAAGGCTGCTATTTCAAAAAAGAACACAGGATATACAACAGAAGTTTTGAATTTTAACATACTTCTTAGAAAGTTTAAAAGTACTTGCAACTAAAGACCTACTATTATTTTGAAATTTTTTAAAAATTTTGCCAAAAAGTAGAAAAACTGGTATATCTTTTCAAAAGATCAGCAGTGGTTACTTTTTTTAAATTAGAATGTGTCTACCAAAATGGGACCTGCTATGAGCTTATTTGGATATTGCTTCTTGAATAATCAATAGTGAACTGGAGGATTATGTATAAAAACTTCTAATTGTTAGATAATTTTTTTCTTTTCTTTTCTTCTTATTACATATAGTGTTAGAGTAGAATTTTTTTTTATACAACCTATATAATTTATATAGCCTGGCACAAGCAAAAATAGTGTTGTTATTGTTATTTTTTTTGTGATCTTCTTTTTCTTTTCTCTTTTTTTTACTTTGGTTTGTTTTTTGCAGTCATTTAGTTTAGCTTTTTTTTACTTTTTCTTTTTATTTCTTAATTTCTAGTTGTTCTTTGGTAGATTACTTCTATCTAAAAGGCTAGAAGAAGAAGGTTGGAAAAGAAAGCAATTATGATGGGCTAATGAATTAGGCTGTTAATCTAGAGAGGATCTTTTTAGATGAATTGAATTCAAACTAGTAATGCTAAAATCATTATTAGCAGATTACACATAGGTGCTGATAGTATTTAGGTATCTAAAAGTAACCAGATGAGCCATTATCCAGTTTTTTGTCAGTAGACATAATATAATTAGATATTTTTCAAGATAACTCTAGTTAATTAATAAAGCAAGGATAACAATATAATTATCACTTTAATATATATATATATATATAATAAAATTTTATTTAATCTGTAAAAAACTCCCTCACCAGTGTATAAAATCTATATGCACAATGTACTTATAAGCATATGTTTTTAAAGGTTTTTAGCTAGAAATATGCATAAAATTCACAAGATTTCTAGTCACATAGTGCACCAAATTTATTAATAAAATCTTAACTATATACATATGGAGCACATTGTGCATATGATCTATTTTTATATATGTAAATTAAATAGATATTTATATAAAATGTTTTATAGTATTATGAAAATTTATAGTTGCTAATTTTTAAAATTATTTACATAAATTAAGTATATAATGTGCTCATTGTACACATGTTTTTGAGGTAAGATTTTATACACTGTCTCACACTATTATTAAAACTTATCTATATCTAAAACTCTACAATAGCTGCTTATTTTTATATTTATTCATCATATAATATTATACTTTAACTCAGCAGAATTTTTTCATTTCTCTTGTTGTTTTATTAAAAAATAGCATGCTTTTACTTGTATATATCTCTATCTTTTTTTTTCTGCATTAAATTTAATATTTAGTAATTTTGTCATCTATCAAAAATAAACTTATTAATATAATATCAAACTTTATTGTAAAAAAAACAGAACCTTAGCTACAACCAACCAACCATGCTAGCTCAGATTATCAATAGAGTCATACAATAGCTTACATTCTTTTTTTAATGCCTTTTTTGCTAGTATAGTCTTTCTTCACTTCTTAGAGCCAGAAAATTTCTAAATTATAATAAAATATTTATTTTCTTAGTTCTTTTATGCTAGTTGAAAAGCTATTAACTTAGCATAAAGCTACAACCTATTTTTTATATAACTTACTAGATAGTTATATCTTGATATAAATGAGCATAAAACTCTTATTTTTATTGCTATTAGATATGTGATGCCTTGTGGTAAACATGCAATTTGTTTTTTACTCTGTTGTATATTCAAAAGTAAAAAAAAAAAGATGAAAAAAATTGCTTTGAGAAAATTAGCAGAAGGGTAGATATAGCCCTCTTTATGATTTGATGTGCCTTTTGTTACCTACTATATATAGTATAGTAGCCACCAAAAGAAACACCAGAAGATCAGTTTTATAGTAAAATATATATAAAATCTGTTTTAGAAAATTTTCTTTTTAGAAAAAAACAACTATTTTTGGCACCCATGAAAATTATACATCATAAAATACAAATATTAAATTTTTAATTATATAAAATTAAAAAACATTTATTATTAAAACTTTGGATTTTTAACAATTTTAAAATTTTAGACTTTTACTATGTTTTTACTATGTAAATTTTGCAAAGTTTAATTATAAATTTTATGTTATATTCAAACTTCTATTTTTTTATTAAAATAATTTTTTTTTTTTGCATTGCCTTTAAAATATAATAGCACTACTTTAATAATTATATTTAAGTTTTTTAAAAAATTTTTTACGATTTTATATTTAATTTTAAAGTCAAATTTACAAATTTTATATGTTTTATATATGAAATTATGAATCGTAAACTTCATAAATTTTAAAAATATCAATCCAATTTGTTTAGACTGTTGAAACTCATATATTATAGAATACAAATATTGATTTTATATAATATATAAAAATTAATATTTTTTATAAACAAAATTTTTTTTAATGTGGTTAGTAAATTTCAATTTTTTATATGTTTTACTATAAAAAAACATCGGGCATTACTTTTTGGGGCTACTGTACGTATAAATCTAGATGTTATACTGTTTTATCTTATACAACACTAACGTGTATGAATTCCAGTTTTAATTTTTTTTAGCTAAAGCATTGAAGGGTACAAGTTTAAACACTAGTTAGACAAATCTCATACAATATACAAATATAATGATATGTGATGCGATATCATGAAGAAGTTTACGTACATTAATGCATAGTCCAATAAGATTTTGCGGGCATACACCTTCAAAAATATCATAGCAACCATACACTTCGTGATATTACAATCACTCCGTTTCTAGTATTGTTGAACGTCGATCATTCCAGGAAGAAATCTCGGCAGCATGCAGTAAAATAATCATAGAAGAATTTAGTGTAATCATGGATTTTCTTCGAGAAGAAGTTGAGAAGAATTTTTACAGGGGGTAAACTTGAAGTTATAATCATATCTGGTGTTAATCGGTTTATCAGAATATCGTCCATAAGCTCTTTTCAAGAATATTTTGATAAAGTTTGCTCTTTTTTACAATATCTTTATCGGAAATTTGTAAGTATCTTATGTGAGAAAGACAGTGTTGAAGAGTAGCTTTCAAGGACTTAAAGTCCCATCTGTTCATTTTTCAAGGTCATGTGTTAAGTTTGAAGTTTTTGTTTTCTCCACAAAATAATCTTGTCTCAAATTTCCGATTCTTCTATTTGTGGTTCGTCGTCATTTAAAAGAGTGATCAAACCATTCTCTTGAAGAGTAAAATCATCTAATCAAAAATGCTCAGATGTTTTAAAAGAACGGCATTGCAAAATTTTTGTAAAGTTTAAAAATTTTCTTATTTGGCATACATGAAAAAAACTTAAACGAAGTCAAGATGCCTTATTATCAATTAGGTTAACCTCGATTAATTCTAAGAACATAAATTCATTGGCAGTAATCAATGCGTGAAGATCCACTCGTGACTTTTAAAAAAATTTTTTTTACTATTTTTTTTCGAATACTTACAATAACTTAGATCAAAGGTTACCGATGCTTTCAAATTTTCTAAGGAAACCACGCCGCTATTTATATATCTATATGACGAACATAAATACGTAATATATAAAAGGTTTTTTTCTTTTTGCAGCAATATATTTGATGGTTGAAATTTTATTTAATAGCTTACTTAATAATATAATTTCAATAACATCGTTTTATTTAACATTTCCTGATAATTTCTGATGAAGTATGATGATCGATCGTTGAAATAGAATTAGCGAATGTGTTTTGAAGAGTTGGCTATCTTATTGATTACCAACTTTGATCACTACATTGTGACTGTATTCGCTTTCATGTTGAGTCAAGACTTGTGAAAGTTTATTAACAAGTTCTACGCTCATTTATGAAAATATAAATTTCGCTGGTCTTAATTATATATTCTATTTTGTAGTGTTATCTTTAGAATTTATGAATCCTTTTTAGGGGATGACTAATGCTAAGGCCCGTTTACATCATGACATTATGACAATTTTGTTTAAGCATTTAGCCTAATATAAATTAGTAAAGCATATTATAATATTTCAAGCTTGAAAATTTCTTGTCAACTTTACAGTACCACGAACTTTCAAAGCTTTATTTTGATAGATATGCAGTGGAATATCGATAATATAAGATTTCTAATACATTTAGTACAATCATCCTATAAATGGAAACAAATTTAAAAATAAGTTATAAATAAAATTATTTCACATAACTTAATCTTACCAGATACATATGGTCCTTTTCTTGTGGATAATTTAAGTATAAAATATCTAATTTACTTTTTTTAAAAGCTGGCTTAGTTAATGGCCCGCGTAGAAGGTAATCAGGAGATCCAAGTGCAATATTTATAACTCCATGGTGGCTACATTCAGGATTTTCAAAAAGTTGGTTTGCAAATATAAGCTTCTTATTTTCGTCGGTATTGATTCCCTCTAATATTGAGCAGAAAATTTTATCTTTTCTATTCATGTAATTCCATCTAACTTCTTTCTCATACATATTGCTTTCAAAGCAATTTCCCACATAAATAGTACTTTTTGAATAAACAAATAAATATAAGTAAATTATGAAAATTTTTGATCAAAATATAGAGATTGTAGCCGTTAAGAAAATTGCTATCCACTATTACTAGGTTAACCCGGGTAAGTTATACTTCAGAGATAGAAAGTTATGGCAGCGATAACTGATGATCTGCCTAATAATAAGTACAACAGCCAGTACGGCAATAATATAATATATTTCTGCCGCGACTTTTCTATTCTGCTAGCTACAATCTCTATAATATAATAAACCAAAATGTGCAATTACCAAACGCATAATTTCAAGTGTTGTAAGTGTTGTAAACTATCATCATGAGATATTAATTTATTGTGGTATTTGGAGCTGTAGACAAACAAAGATGCTCGATCCCTTGAACAAGAGAAATGTGAGCCAAATACTAATTTATAATCGTAAGGTTTTGTCTCCGAGTCTGAATATGTTTTTTATCTAAAATGCATGTTGCCAACACAAATTTTTCTTCATTTGGCCAATCTATTTGATGTGGAATATTACTTATAGTATATGGATTTGCTACCATTACGTCTGAAGAATTGCCATATTTTCCACTCATAACTTGATTTGATATGTCAAGATCAAAAGTATCATCTGGATATCCTACAACAATCCAACCGATTTCGATAGCCCTATATTTCTTTTTAGGTTTTTTTTGACTTGGGATACGTTGAATAAAGATTACTGGTGCATCTGGCGCATCATAAGCCACGTATGATGAAAATATATGTCGATTGCGCTCTTTCATGACTGTAGTAAATATTTCGCAATTTTCAATATTTGAAATGTCATCTAATTTTCTTCCTATATAAATGCCATAGGGTTTATTTTTGTCTGTTGGATATTTAATTTTTTCAATCCCAACTTTTCACCAAAAAGGTTTCACATAAAGAAGTTAATTAATAACATGCTGTAAATTTCACTCTATTTAAGCAATAAAAAATTACCTTTTAAAATCCTTTTCCCCAAAGTTTTTAGAACTTTATTCCGTAAACCATCCTTTAATAGATCAAAAATCGAATAGATATCACGATATTCAATAATATCCCAAGTATCTGAGTCTTTGAGTGAATTAATCCAACAAGCAGGGTTATCAACGACGAACTGTGAAATGTCACCGCCTTTTATTTTATGAGTAGATCTAGCGTTTCCTTTTGATTTTTCAGTATTCGAGGCTATACCTGCAGTTATACCTAAACTTATTCCATTATTTAGCAGGTTTGATGATGCTTGAATTCTCGTTTCTTCTGCGTGTTTATGACCACCTTTAAAATAAAATTTAGTGAATCAATTATATATATTAAACTTAAATATGGACCATAAAAAGTAAAATTATACTTGTTTGTTCAACGTTTGCAATTTTTTCAATAGAAACTCCTCCAAAAGAGATGGATCGTGCATAGAAGTGGCCATACTTATTGGCAATATCTTTAAGTTTTGTCACTATCTTATTTCGAGTCCCTCCTTCTAACGCAGCCTCAACTTCATGTTTAAACTCATCAGTTAATATAATATTACTCTCGTTTATTTCCATTGTTGCATGCCTTTTTTTAAGATATGAATATTTTGTATATGTTTCATAAAAGTTCAGCTTTTCACGTGAAGATCTTTGATCAATTCCAAAGGAAATTGAAATCAATGGCAGAACAAAATTAGCATTTCCAAATGTGATAAAATTTCGTTTACACAATTCGTGAAATTCGCTCTTGCATTCAAATTTGCCTTCTGTATGATCATCATCAATATATGGCTGTGTTGTTTTAACAGTAAATGCACGAGGTTTAGGGTGTTTAATTTGCTTTACTGTTGCCGAATCTTTGTCTATAATAAAACCATATCCGCATTTATTAACCAATCTAGCCAAATCGGGACCATCTTCTTTGAGAATCTTCAATACATTTGGACCTTGTTCATTAATATGTAATATTTCATACAGTCTTTTCTTATCTTCATCGAATTCTGAGATAGGAACGTGTTTTTGGTCAGAAAAATGATAACTTGATCTCATACGCTCAGAGGCTTCGCTGTTTGCAAGCTCCGATCGAATTTGAGAAAGGTACATTCCTTTATGCAGAGTACGCTTAAAGGTATGATTATAAACAGACGTTTTATCACTGTAGATGCAAATAATGATATCAGAATCTTGTAGAGTAGAAATATACAGTGTATCATTATTTTTCAGAATCTTTTTTAAATCCCTTGATATTTCTTCTTCAGGCTTAGCTATGCTTCCATCTGGCTTCCTAAAAAAGAAGTCGCCTTTGTCATCTTTGATTCTTTTAAAATGATCACGAATTTTTTCAAGTTTAACGTTTGGGTCTAAAAAGTCGGACACTTCCGAATCATCAATATAAACGTCAATGTTCTTTAAAAAATTTTTTACATGAATTATAGAGTTCCCATCACAAATTTCTTCTAAATTATAACTTTTCTCACATTCATAAGTGATCAACGTTCCATCTTTATCGATAAATTGAAGTTTGTCAGCCTTTAAGTAATTTTTATCTTTTGCTAACTCTTCACGCACATCTTTAAGATTTGTGGATTGTTTAAATGGCTTGGTAAATGGCTCTTCGTTATCAATTTTAAATTTAAATACTTTTTCCTTTTTGAATAAATGCATTTTTGCTAGCAGTCTGAATGATAAAGTTACGTACGTATGTACGGAGCAAGAAATCTAAAAACCATAATTATACCTTATAAAGACAAAAATATAAACAGTGAAATTAAATATTTAATTTATTGAAGTCGATAATTTAATTTTAATGTGCAACTTGATTATAGGTTACAGATTATGCCAAGCTGATAATCAAGTAACACATCAAATTCATATTTCTTAAATTACGACTTCAATAAAAGTATTTACATACACACTTTATTGATGTTTATAATATAGGTTTCAATGTTTGTATTTTGTCTGTATATGGTATATAGTTGTGGTTTTTGGATTTCTTACACCCATATGTACGTGTCATAAGTTAACCTTTATGATTATGCTATGCAAATTTTAGTTTCACGATTTTTCATGCTAATCTTTCGTATGCACATTCATGACACAATGATAAACTTATCTATTTTTTGACTAATTTGTTTTTGCTTTGTGTACTGGGATACCGCATACTAAATTACTGAGACAATTCCGAAAATCGAAAGCTGTAATAGCATCACAATATTCTATGCACGTACAATATGTATAATTTAAGAAATTTCTGTCATTTGATCATAATAATTTCAAAACTTAAAAAAGTGTATTTTTTATAACCAAAATTTAGTCATATTAGCGCTATCATGTTTTCGTGAATCTTTGAAAACAACAATAAAACATTTCGTTTTTACAAAGATTTTAAAAAATATCCATTATATTTTTACAAAGATTTCAAAAATAACCTTTGTCAAATATGCAATTTCTCAAGACCGCGAATGACATTTCCCCACTTAAAATAAAGGGCGTTGTAGCCACAGAAAGGGGGGTTTCTAATGAATTTGATTTAAATCTATCAAAGGTTGATATAAAAATGCCATTAGATAGATTGCGGGAGTATTTAACTCAAAATAATTTAGTATTAGTTGGTAAACAAAACTCTAATTTCCGGAATAAGTTTGAATATAAAGTTCCATTCATTAATGAAAGTGATTGGAGATTAGAAGAAATTTTAGTTCAAACAGATGGCACAACTGAACTTGAAAGAGATTTTACGTTCTTTATTGATAAAGACTTGTCAAGACCAGGTATTCCTGAAATTGTGATGAATCTTAATATAGCTAGAGGATGTATAAAAAATAAAGATGGTACTATTGTTCAAGCAGATAAAAGCGCGTTCCGTATTAGAAATCCACATTTAATGGAGGTTATAACCCATCAACATCTTGAACAAATTGAAGAAAATAATAGAGGAGGGCTTCAAGTTTGTTGTGAAAAAGCCACTATTAGGCTATTACCGGAAGATTTAGAAGCGACTGATGATTACATTACGGCTATTGAAGGCGCATTGAAAAAAAATTCAACTTCAGAGAAAAAAGAAGCTTTAAATGAAGTGTGCAATGACTACGGATTTTTCTGGTTTGTACACTCTCACATATAAAATTAATTTATTTTGCTTAATCTAATTTAATAATTTAATAACGGACAGGCCAAAGGAAATCAAGCTTGGAGGCATATTTCATATAAATGATGA